GGATTAAATTATTAATTGAGTAATTAAGTATAAACTTTATATTTAATTTAAATTTTAAAAATATTTTTCAAGTATTAACATAAATATCCTAAAGTTGGAATTTCGGATATAGCATCTCAATCACCTTAAGCTACTGTTGAAAAAAAGATATTTAATTGGAATATTAACACTAAAAAATCATTAATTTAATTCCTCTCTTTAGAGATCAGCTTATTAACATTTGTTTAGCTCTCTCTGTCACTTATCTCTTTCATTTTTATTATTTTTTCTAACTTTTCCTCTCTCCAGATTTCCGGAGCTCTCTTAGGTTCACTGTTCTTCTTCTCTTTTACCCACTCTAAATTAAATAAGTATATATATATATATATATATGTGTGTGTGTATAATAAAATAAAATTCTTCGCTTTATCACTCAGATGAATTTCCATCCAGGTAACTTATTTTATGTCAATCAGTATTAGATGTTTAATCGTGTACTCTTGAGGTAATCTAAATTGGGAATTTTTCATTTTTTTCCAGCCCATGCATGTTTTGGACCAAATTCTGTGCATTAATGTCGATTTCTTTTTTCTGCTTTCATTTTAGATGACCGAATTGGGTTCCCTTTACTTGATTGATCCAAGCTTGTTTCTGGGTTGATCTTCAGGTTTTCGATGGAATTTGGTGTTGATTTGGTGAAAACTTGAATATTTGAGTGGTCTAGTTATATGTTTCTTATTTTGCCGATTTAAAGAGAGAAATATTTTTCACGTGTAACATTTAATTCCCAAATTGATCTTGATTTTCTGTAGATATTTCCAATTTCCACTTCTTAATACTAAAGAAAAGAACCCTTTTGCTCATTACGATCAAAGCCTTAAAAGATTGTTATTACTTTCCCAATAACCTAAGTAGGAAGACATGCAATTCTTTGAAATAGTTTTTCCCTTGCGTCAAAAGGAAAGCTCTTTGGCTTCTTAGTAGTGCCATTGTGAACTTGCTATGAAGATTGTTTTGCTGGTACAGCTATTCACAAAGTTGGCTCACATATGGTGACTCGTTAGGTTTATTTTATCAAGAAAATTGGCATTAATATTTTTATTTTTTATTTTACAGCTGAATACAGAGTGCTTTAGCTAAATTTTATACGTCCATTCAGCAGATTGTAAATAGAATTGAGGGAGCTATGGTTGGTACAAGTTCCCGGGACTTCTGCGAGCACAGTGTCCTCTCTCATTGCCTGTTTTAGCTTCAAGAACTTTGTTCTTGATGTATATGTATAACTAGAACGATTGAGTCATATTGATAAAGTTGTGTTGCGTGAAGAGTTTTAACTGAAGGGGAAGCTTAAAAGTTAACATTATGGGTTCAGTTTGTTGCTGCTTGCATGCTGAGGATTTTGAGGACTACACGAATCCAAACAGTAATATTTATAGAAACTGTTTGTGCATCGGTTGCTTCTTTCAGAATTTTATACAAATGGTATGTTTTCTGATACTTGTCAATAAGCATTGGTTTGGGCTCCAGTATTGTTTCTTCAAATCATAGTATTTTCATGCCTCACTTGAGGTTATAAAAGTGGTTCTATTGATTTTTTCTTTCATGCCACTTTTATGTTGTTAAAAATTAGGGTTGTCATTGGAAATATAACTCTACTATATTTTCTCTTTGTGGCACATGTAAGTGGCACTAGCCTATTATGTCCACAATAATTTTGCCTTGAGCATTGTAATAATTTGCTAAAGATAATCTCTATTGTTAATGCAGGAAATGTCCTTTGTTAACTTTTTTACTGAGCCCCATGCTTATATTTTTGTGGAAGCCTTGGAGAGGGTTAGGGAGGGAATAAGGTTTGGTGAATGAAAGAAGCTGAAAGAATGAATATAAGGAGTGGCTAATCTGTTGACCAATTTCCCTAAGCCGGGGAAAGTTCCTTTATGGTTTACAATGTGTATAGGGCTGTGGTAGTCTAGTTACATCTTTATGCAATAAAATGGAATAAGATAATTAACATGTCAGTGCCTAAAGACTGTTTTGCTTAAAGAACTCGCTTTATAGGCTCTTGAAGCAAGTGAAATCTGCTTATAATGTGAAAACCTGAGTTCTTGATCTAGTGAATTCCACCAGCATCGGCCTATATTAACTTTTTGGCGAACAGGTATCTATTGAAGTTAATAATGGACCATGTACTAACCTAATCTTAAAACTTATCACTTGATCATTTACATTCTGAATTCTGTGTTTGATTAATATTAAGAAGAGGAGGTTGACCAGAAAGGTACTTAGTGTTACATCTTACATTTCTCTGAATTGATCAGAACTTTATCCTCAAATATTTCAGTTATGGAGTTTCAAATTTTTTGTCCTTATGTTGTTTCTTTGGTCCCTGTAATTATAGTGTACCACATTATTGCGACGAGGAGAGCTGCACTCTCCGTCCCTTCATCCATTCAGGGAACGGCATCTATGAACTCTTCTGCATCACTGGACAACTCGCTTTCTGACATGTACTGTTCTACCCCAAGGCCCTTACCTTGTGATGCTGATACCAGATTTTTTCGCTTACAACGTGGTGGTCTTGTTTCAAGACGTGAGAAGGGTTCAAGTCATTCACAAGAGGAATCAGAGCCTTTAAGAGGTGAAGATGATGTAGGTTCTGATTCTTTGAGTAGAGCGGGGAAATGGAATGCTTGTGAACAAGGCTCAATTGTGCAGCATTCTAAATCCTCACAACTCACATCATCAACAAAAACATCAGTTGGAATTGGGTACATCTATTCACCAGTAGAAGAGGAGGATGTCTGCCCAACATGTCTGGAAGGTAAGTTATCTTTCTTGACAATAATGATGTTCTAGCCACTATATTGGGGTGGGTTTTTGCTCCTCCGCCTTCAGAAGTTTGTAGCACTCAGCAATATCAATTCATGCCACATTTGATTTCTGTCTTCTTCTCTACCCTCCAACAAGGTTTTATAAATGACTGGTTGAATAGATCAAGTTTTCTAGAACTCATAGAGGACACCTTGTATGCCAAGTTTCTGATATATGTTGCTTCTCTAACCTGGGTGCTTGTGTCATTAATTGGATCGCATTGCTAGTGATTGAGTATTAAGAAATCTTGATTTAATTGGAGGAATCAGTCCATTAGACTTGTACTTATTCCTTTATATTAGAAACAATCAGTCAATCACTGCTATCAGAAACTGATAATGCCACAAATCATATTAGGTTGGACTTTTTATAGATATATTATCCTCATTTAAACATATTGTTATAATTTATGTGCAGAATATACTCCAGAGAATCCGAAGATAATAACAAACTGTTCCCACCATTTCCATCTTGGTTGCATTTATGAATGGATGGAGAGAAGTGAACATTGTCCAGTCTGTGGGAAGGTAACCTATTTTCAGCTAAATGATAATAGATGGTTGCAGTTCTTTCTAGAATTACGATTTTACTAGGATCTGCAAACCTTCAAGGTTTACACGTATTAGCATATTAATTTGCCTTTGATATGTTTTATATTTTGTGTCTTGCTCTCTCCTTTTACAAGTATCTGCATAAGATTTTTCATTGGTTTGTTTATCAACGTCATGCACATCAATGGTTATTTGGTGTGTGTAGCTTTTCAACTAGTTCTCATCTAATGGAATTTATATGCTTGGATGTTCAATGACAATAACTTCTCTTCTAAAACAATATAAACACTTTTTTGGTTTGCTAGTATATGTCATTTTAAAGATAATTTTGGGAAAACTCCTGCATTTATTTTTATTCCCTTAGTTTTTCTTTATTTACTTGTCTTTTTTCCTTGGAATTAACTGGCAAATATCCTAGTTTCTTAAACTTTTCTTATCTCGACTTTGTATTTGTTTTGTTTTGTTTTCCAGGTCATGGCATTCGATGAAACAACTTAATCTTGCTCGGAAGTTTTTGTTGCGGATGAACGTCGGCAGCAACAACAACAGAAGATAGAACCAAGGAAAGACAACTCCTTTGTGAATAATTCGGGATAAGGTGATTCTCATACCATAAATATGAACAGTGTCTTGTATAAAGATTTTTAATTGTCTTTGTAACCAGGGAAATTGGGGGGGGGGGAAACTATATGGATGATTGCATTATTGTTGGAAAACTAAGTGTGGATTGTTTCTTTTATAAAGGAGGTTATGTTGGGTTATTAGATTCAGAATTGAATCTTGGACATGGTCTTGTGGAACATGTTAATTTTCTTAAAAAGTTCAGTCATTTTACAGCAATGCAAGCTCATCTATTTTGTTTTAGTTTAAGAAATAATATAATAAAAGATGAATTATTTAGTGTATTGAATGAAAGTTTTTAACTTCACAAAATTAAGAATGCGCCATCTATGACATTTTTTTTAATAATATATTAATATAATAATCTCTTTTCAAAATTATGTGTGTCACCACAACCTTCCTACACAACCAAATTCTAGCCATTTTGTTCATAATGACTGTCCAAAACTCAAAGCTGGATGTCTAACAGGTTTAAGGTAAGCAGCTATGAGCCATGGAAGAATAACTTTACTCCATTACCCGTCTAGTGCAGGCAAGAACAACTGTGCTTTACTCAGTGGTCGAGTGGCGGATCTATGTTATCTTTTGGGTGGGCGAGTGTTTACCTTAAAATTCAAATTTATTCCTCCAAAATTAGCATCCATTTACATACAAAAATTTCTGGATCTGTCACTGGCTTGACTAGTGTCAAAGAAAATTATGAACATATACTACTTATACTTACTAGATATTATAAAAAATACCAGTGTCAAAGCAAACAAGAAAATAGTTTCTAATTATATAAAGCTTTTTATCAAGTCTTCCATTGTAATATATTTAAAAGTTTAATCACAAGCCTTTTGTCTGTGTGGCTCAAGGTTTCAACAGTCTTACCAGCAAATTCAGTCACTGCTGTTGTGTTTTATGTCAATGCAGGATATTATGCATATATTCTCTTGAAACCATTTTTCACGTTTCCAGCATCAAGAAGCATTATGATCATTTTAACCATATTGGTGAAACCAAAAATTTAGAGCATCCATCAGGGATAAATCCATTGACTGGCTGAGCATGACTTGTTGCAGCCTTCTGGTCTGAAGCTACAGGATTGCAGTGCCTGCAGCAGGAAACAAGATTTAAGAGATTAAGAACAGGGATATGATTATGATACTCAAACTCGGGTGTAGGTTAAGAATGTCCAATGCATGTATGTTTTTTCCCTAGAGGACCCGAGTTTTGAGCATCAAGTATGCAACATATGTGCATTATCAATGGGCTAAGAGAAATTCTGAACAGATATTACCTTAATCCTCTCGTACTATTGAAAAACAAATTCTAGATTTTTTTTCATGTATTTGGAGGCATCACATCCATGTCCAAATATGTATTAAACAATATTAGAATGGGAAAAAAGGGAGATGTAAAGAATAAAGGAGTTGAAATCCTACCCTATCTGCAAAGTAGGGTTGCATTCCAATGGCTGATATAACCCCATATATTGAGCCTGCTGGTTACTGAATGATACACTTTGCTCACCACCTTCCCATGATGCTGGAAACTGGTTTCTGGCATTAGTTTCTTCAAGCTGTACAAACACAAGAGCAGTCTTCAGCTGATGAAATGACCACTACAGGGCTCTGAAGAAACAGTCGGACTTGTTTTTGCATCTACATTTGTTTGTACTCTTGGAGCTTCAGTTAAAGTTTGTTTAATCTAGCTAAACACTTCCGATATGATAAAGGGTTAGTTTGCTTTTTGGTATCTCAATTTGGTTTTATACTTTAAATTAGTATTTATACATTTTTTTGTTTGAACCGAGTACCGAAATATACACAAAAGACAAATTTAGATACCAATTATTATCCACAAATAATAACTATTATTATTATATTAGAAAAATATCAGTAATGTCCTATGTATAAGATTGATGAATAAGACCAGTATAAACAGGAATGATTGTCACAAATCCCCTTCCACAAGTGGATTTACAGAATACAGTGTACATACAATGGCTTTAGGAAGACAGCTAATGATCATATATTAAACACGAGCACGAGTAAAAAACGACTCCCATGGCACGTTCGAGAATCAACTAGTAGCTGTATTAGAGCAATCAGGACAGCTGAAGTGACCTCTAGCTTGACATTTTGTACATCCAACAGATTGTACCTTAAATTCCTCGGACCGATACAAATTATCGATGAGGTTAAAGCTTAATGGTCCATTTGCTTTGATTAATCCAGTTCCCCTGCATCTCGAGCATGCTATCACATGTAGACCACCACATCTCTTGCACAAGCCCAATGAACTGCAAGTTTAACAGGTTGTGTATCAGCTCGTGCACAGTATTAACAACGATCTTAACCTTGCAGATTGCATCAGCCAATTAAACATACCCCAGAAGTTCACTTTTTCTATCAAAGTTGAATAAAAGTGGGGAACCTCATGATATAGATAAGACATGTTACCTACCTTAACTCAATTATGTGCAACTAAGTTTAGAAAGAAATCAATTTAGTTCATTCACTCGACAATGATTCTAGTGCTTTATCCATCACCCCCCTAAAGCAGTCCTAGCTTAATCATTAAGTTTATCATCAGAAAAAACAAAAAGGCGACCTTTATATGCATTCCACTCTAGTCATCCGAGCTTTTCCTCAAATAAATGAAACACAATTACAACAGCAGGATAACTACATCATGAAGAGGAAAGTGAAGCCGATGATTCTGAAAGAGTTATATTTAAATTTAGTCTACTACTTCAGGGCCACATTTTATAGGTGTAAAAGGATGGCATAACTTGGAGATAGGGGAAGTGATTACCGATTTCAGAATTCGAACTCTAACCGGCAAGATATTGCCTCTTAAAAGTTACCGGCCGAACCGAGTAGGCTAAATCCTAGGTTCCTTCCGGGTCACTTTCGATTTGCACTAGCATAACATGACAATAAAAAGACATTTTTGTTGTTGCATAATTCAATGTAGGACAGTGCATTGGTTTGAGATAGAATCATCACAAAGAACGGATATGAAACATGAAGATACAGCAATCATTTCATAAAAATTCAAACAATCCCACAATTAAATCTATCCTAGAAATACAAAAGACATTGAAATTACAAACAGAGTTAAAGTACAATGGTAGCTTTTCCACAGCACATCCAATTGCAAACCAACAAAGAGAAGAACAAAAACTAAGCCAAAATAACAAAAGGTATCAAAACTCACAATTCATCAACCAAGCTAATAATCAAAGCACCCAACTTTTACCCATACCCCCCGTACTCAGTAAAAAAATGTTAACTTTTTCCAATGTTTAATACTAGTAAAAATCTGGGTTTTACTTCCAAACTAAAAATAGAGGTGATAATCTTGGAAACAGAAACAAAAAATGGGTCTACAAAAGTTCAGTTTCCTTCTTTGTGAAGCAGAGATGAAAGCATCAACTTTGGGGGTGTACAGACATCTAAAACCTTATCGATTTAGCAATTCACTTGAGCTCTATGGGGATGTCAAGAAATGTAATTTTTAGTTACAATTATTAATTAAATTGTATTATACTGCGCCGACAAAGGCCTATTAGCTCAGTTGGTCATTTAGGCCGATTTTGTCATTCTTTGGGCCAAAATATGACATGATTATTTTATCATCAAATAAAATCAATTCAATTTGAGTACAAATTTTATTTATAAATTAAATATTTTTTATTACTTATTCATAAAGCTTAAAATTTTAAAATAATTTGATTATTATATCTCAGGATATGTTTTCACTTACATATTGAGTTTGTGAATTCTAGTTTGTAAGATTTCCCATTGGAAATTATTGGGTACATTCATGATGGAATGACCCATTCAAATAACATAATCAAATCGGATTTAAACTTTGCAAACAATGTTACACATATCACATTTCGTAAAATTAATGATTAGAAATGTAGTACCCTCCCTCTCCAAAAGTATATAAGCTGTATTTGGTTGGTTTTGCATGGCAGTCTTGTTGCAAACAATGTTACACATATCACATTTCGTAAAATTAAATGATTAGAAAATGTAGTACCCTCCATCCTCTCCAAAATAGTTATAATAAGCTGTATTTGGTTGGTTTTGCATGGCAGTCTTGTTGCAGCAATTACCAGGCTGATGATCATCATCTAGGTTCCACAATCCACCCCATAACCCTTCCTCTGCCAGATACTGATCTATCCAACCAGCAGCATTAGCAGTAAAAGAAGCTGGCTCTTGAAACAAGCACTGATCCTCTGGTATAGGGTGCACGGAAACCATCCCCGATTGATCAATGATCTCTACTGCTTCACTATTTACTTTGCCATCATCTCCCCCTTCTTCTGGTTTTTCCTGTTGCTGTTTCTGTTGTTTTAGCTTTAGAATCTGAGCTTTTCTTTTTTTTTGCTTCACAGAAGACTTCTTCTTCTTCTTTAAATGTGTTCTCCAATAGTTCTTTATCTCATTATCTGTTCTCCCTGGCAAGTATCTTGCAATTGTAGACCATCTATTCCATTTTCACATATAAATCAAACATCATAACCATACATACATACATACATACATACATACATACATACATACATACATACATACATACATACATACATACATACATACATACATACATACATACATACATACATACATACATACATACATACATACATACATACACATACTCTTCCCACTCCCAGCCTGAAAAATTGAAAATAAAAAACCATTATTTTAACCACTATTACAAGTTAACATACATACATACATATATAGTAATTATATTGTACCTGCAAACCTAGCTACTGAAGTCCATCGTCCTTCTCCATGGAAGTTAACATATTCAGTAAGCAGCTTATCTTCTTGAGGAGTCCAAGGGCCTTTCCTCAACCCTAGTTTTGGAGCTTCCCAACCCATCATTCTAACCATTATTACAGCTTCTTTTTTCCCACTAACTTTCACTAAAAATTCTTGTCTCCGGATTGCATGACATAACCTCTTACCTTAACTCTCTTATATATCTCTTCAATCATGTCAGTTCCATGTTTTCTCCATTTTTAAAATCCATTTGATGATCTCATCATGAAGACAAGATCTTTGAAATCAAATTTCAGCTTGAATTCCTCTCAGTTTATCACAAGTGTTAAATGTCTAGGTGCTCACCAGCTCAGTCTGTTTTTTTACCAGTTAGAGACCGCCAAGTGTTGGTTATTATTACAGGATCGTGATTACATAACACAATCTCGAACTACATTTTGTCATAATTTGAAGATAGTCATAATTTGACTCTTTTAGGCCGAAAACACAAGCTGATGCCTTTGAAAATGGCTTACGGACCAATCTTTATGGAACACTTGTTGGCATAAACAATTCTTAAATGCATGCTTTAGGAATTGTTTATTACCGGAGAAGTTTCTAGGATGCCATTTATGGTAATGGAGGAATTAAATATGTGGTGAAAAGGGGACATTTTTTATGAGTCATTCATGGTCCTTTTTACGTCATTACGTCGTGTGTGTATATATAGCATATTTGGAATGTTAGGGCATTGCTCCATTGGACCAAAGTTAATATTTTAATGAACAATGGCTATATATAGGTGTTGATATTATAAAAATGAAAAATGTTACATCTAAAGATTGTGTTCAATGTACCCATCGAGATCTTGTTTTATAAAGTAATAAGCTTTGTAAGCAGTGAGAAATGCTTGATTTGATAGCAGTGAAGAAGATGTAATGAAAGTTGTGGTATTGATGTTTTTATCTGAGTTGCCCTTCAAAGGGTAGGCATTTTTGATAGTTCTGTAAATGAACTGAACGTTCAGCGAACCGTTCATGAACCGTGCGGCGGAAAGTTCGTTTTTGTTCGTTTATTTATTAAATGAACGAACATGAACAAGATTTTACGTTCGTTTAATTAAATGAACGAATATGAACAAAGGACTTGTTCGTTCATTTACATTCGTGAACGTTCGATTATATGTTCGTTTATGTTCGTTCATTTATGTTCAAATAGAGGACAAGTTGAATATGTTACGAAGATTATTGAAGTTGTTTGGATTTCAAGAAGATTGTTTTGTTGAACAAATTAACTTTAAGACTTTATTATGTTCATATAGCTTATTTATGATTTATGTATGTTTTTTTCGTATTCGAATAAATTAACTCTAAAGTTGCAGGTTATATTAATGAATTTTAAGTTGTTATTCTTGTTGTTTACTTTTTTTTTACATTCGTTTGTTGTGTTCGAATAAGTTTTTTTTTTGTTTGTGTTGTTCGTTTATATTCGTTCATTCGTGTTCGTTTATGTTCGTTTATTATTTAAATGAACGAACATGAACAAGCTATATTCCTTAATGAACGAACATGAACAAAAAAAAATTATTCGCTTATGTTCGTTTATTTATTAAATGAACGAACATGAACATACCTCCGTTCGTGTGCATTCGATTTGTTTTACAGGCCTAATTTTTTAGGTTGGTTAGGCCTATGATTTATTGTTTTGTTCACTCTTTTTATATATTTGCTTTTAAGTGGTTCAAATATTTGGTTACTCAATGATATTAATTCATTGAATTTCTTCTAGGAAGTTTCCAAAACCAAATATATAGTGATTATTTGAATATATTTGTCTCTCATCTCCAAATCCTAAAATCTTGATGGCAATTTTACAATGAGATGAAAGATGAAGTGTAAAAAGAAAATAATAATAATAATAAATTTTGGAATTAATTTCAATTGTATTTTTTTGGGTATAACATCATATGTATACGATCTATTAATCATCGACTAATCTAGATCAGGTGTTATAGAGGCAAGGGCGACCCTCCCAACCCAATTTTCTTTAGTCGTAATTGAACCCTTAACCTTGCTTAAGGAATCTAATGCCTCATCCCAGTTGATCAACTAGTTGTTAATATCTCAGTTGTAATTTAAGATATAAATTATTTGTGTTACAATTATTTTCAAAACTTAAGTTGGACTATAGTGATTAAGCGTGAGCTTTGAATACCAAGGGGTCTAGATTTGATATCCCTATGAAGAACATTTGACTCTAATTAAGTTAAATTGTATAAATGATACGACTAAAGTCTAGTAATATATGGTGTAATTTACTTAATAATTTTAATGTGACATAACATCAATAAAAGAGAATTTGAAAAATCAAGCAAACGTTGAGGATATTTTTACTATTATACATGTTTACTCTTAAGTTTATAATTATCTAGTTTTTAAATAAAATAATTAAAAATATTTTTTATATGATTATCAATTATCAATTGAATAATTTTTTAAACCAAGCAAACCCTTGTCCTTTTGGCAGGCAAATTTTGCTCGAGATGTTGCATCCCTGAGTAAGGCACAAACAAAGAAGGTTGCTCGATTCCTTCCAAATCCTGAAAGGCATTGGGGACCGAAGCTTAGGGCTGGCCGCCAAATCACCAGCAAGCACATATCACTTTTGGGTGAGGAGACAGTAAATGGATGTCTCAGTCATCAAGATAACGTGGTCGACACCAAACGTCCAAAAACCGAGACATAAAGGATGCTACCACAGAATCATAGACCAGGCTAGCATTAATCTTATATTACTTCCATCTCTTAAAAGTTATCATGGTTGAATGCATGTTAGTGATTGTGGCTGCATAATCAGTTTTGCAAAAATGTGATTTCTGTACTTTATTAAATTATCTAACACATGATTAAGTTATAATTTCAACGCTATTGCAAAAATGTTGTAATTGGATCATTCAATGCCTTGTATCTTAAGAATTCTATTGGATCGATACATTTACCTCGACTCTTTTCGGCTTTGGGTTTATCGTATGATAATTATTTATCCATAATTTTGAAGGTAATACTACGCATTTTTATTATCAAAAAGTAAAATAATAATCAAATTGAAATTTTTATTACAAACACTGTCACATGTTTCAACCGGATTTGCAAAGTTCCAGTATTGAATAGGTTAGGGCCATTTGATTGTGCTCCAAGCAAACATTCAGATACATGGTTTGAGAAAAACAAGTTTATAGTTGGCGTAGACATTGATAACACTCATCTCAGAACAACATTTAACTTTTTCTGCACCTGCTCGCGCACGTTCCACTGCATTCACAATCAAAAACCACAATTTACAATGTGGTTTTACATCGAAAGAACACCTTCAAACTGAAATAACAACAAAGCTAACGTGTAGTAGTTACCTGCAGATTGTTAATCTCCTCATCTGTGAGTGAACGCTCCATGGATCGATATGCAATACGATAACAATGACTTGTCATTCCTTTCTTGTTGGTAAAGTTATCTATTAAACTCACCTGGTAGTGACAAAACAAAAAGTTAAACTCCTACCAAAAAAGATGGTCAAATGCTTCGTATTACCATTGTTGAAAGACTTTAGGTGGTGGTTGTTATTGATTTAAATTGCTCACCTCTTCAACAAGATCCCCAGCTATTCCTCTTATAACTTCACATAAGTTGTTCTCCGTAAACGATTCATTGATCCAAAAGCTCATATCTTTGTAACAGGGAGGATACTGCAAAAACAATTGAGTTGTCAACCCATGTTTCTGTAATAGGCATCAAACAATTAAAAGAAAAAATACTGTGGAAAGAGTTAAATGGAACCGTTTCCTTAATTTATACCTTTGAAAAGGGTTTAAACTTCACTCCCATTTGACCTTCGGAAAACTGTAATCAAATAGCTTAATCAGACTTTGGAGGAGACACTAGATTAGGATTCCAAGAATTCAACATTCAAATCATGGAGCTACATTCAGCATCTACCTGTGAGGTAAATCGCTCATCAGTTGTCCAAAATAGGCGAATGTCTGGAATGTCGAATAAAACCATTGCTAGCCGCTCCAATCCAAGTCCAAAGGCCCAAGCAACACTGTCCAGTCTACCGTTACTTTTCAATATTTCTTGCTCCATCACCCCACAACCCAAAACCTCCATCCATTTCTCCTGAAATTTGTTGTAGGTTGCTGGTACGTTATACTCGGTGCTAAAGTTAATCAGATGTACTAGTAATTAACTTAAAATGATTCAGATAGAACAAGTAAAGTAGAAGTGAGGACTAAAAGCCAGATTACAAACATGCATGTAGTCACCGCCCTCTAAATATAATGTTGTTAAATAATCATAAAAGAATTTTTGACAAAAAGACTATGAACACTGTAATAAATCAAGCAAAGGAAAAGGCAAAAGCTACTCAAAATACTTCAACTAAATAATTTAAACTTACAGCAAAACAATAAGACCATCTTACAGAAAAAAGGACAAAGAGAATACCTTAAAATAGATTTCAAGTTCATATGAAGGATTGGTAAATGGGAAATAGGCATCAATCCAACGCATCTCCACAGCACCTGGAACGTTAACAGATTGAGGCTAATTGGCGTATTTTAGTCTTTACAATGCAAACCTTTGACGAGTAACTTCATAAAAGTGATCAGAATCTATAGTAGTCAGTTAGTTACTTCTTTCCATAAAATCTTTTGTAGATTTCATAGCATGACAGCACTAATATATGCATCTCCATGGTATTTCCAATAAAATGAAATATAATTGCAAATCTGCGATTAATTCTTTTCAAAAAAGCTCCATCTCATTACCGAAACCAATAGTATATTCATGATGCGAACAAAGATCTTGGTTCAATATGGAATATGATTTTTTGCCAACGCCAATAATATACTCATTGTGGCAGGTATGTATAATTTTGCAAACATGTAATACCTCAATACAGCTTTGGATCTAAAATTTACCAAATAAATGGCGAGCTAGGCCTTCTAGACTTTTCTTTAAGTCCTCAGCTGCATATGAGGTTGGATCCAAACCTGACCCCTCCCAAATATCTGGTGTAAAAACACGAACCCCTTCCATCTGCAATGTAAAGGGGAATATACTTTAGAGGGGAACAAAAGAAATGACCCTGAATTATGAACATTAGCATCTTATAACAAATTTTACATGTCAAATCAAAGCTCTTCGAGGAGAATTTTATAAAGCTAGTAAAATTGAAGATAATTTCAACAAAGTGAAACCTGATGAAACACGGGGTAATGTGTAGAATCTATAGAATCTCTACGGTAAACATCGCCGGTTACAAGGAAATGAGTGTGTCCCCTTCTCAACAGCTCTGCTTGATGTGCACTTGTATGACACCTCAGTACAGTTTGAGAGTCAACATAATATGTATCATTATAGCTCCTGCTTACATGATCGGCTGGCACCAATACATCATCAAAATTCTGGAAAAATAATAAATAAAGATTTACTGCCATAACCAAATAAATTTTCTCAAAAACTTGTCCAATGATCCAACATATATTGTAACATAATTAAGACAATTTAAATTAGTTCATCATACAGAGGAGAAAAGGTTATTTAAGGATCACATAAAATTGGATAAACATAGAGGCCTAGAATCCAATAACGTAGATTTTTCAATATATAAGCGCGAATTAATTCATTGATCATTCCACCGCTTAAGAATTGAGTGACCCTAAAACCAAAATAAAGACTCTTTTAGAAGTTGGTCATGCTGCTTGTAGAGCTCCAAAAACAACTGTGCAGAAAAGTAAAACCCTTGTGCACTGAAGGACTTAATGATACTCAAAATCACATGTTCAATTTAACAAATTGACTAGAGAGCCCAGGTATATTGAACAAACATGCTTTTCAAGCCATATGTAAGGAGAAAAATGTCTATTATCTCTTTCCCTCGGTCACTAATCCAGAGACAAACAAATACAGAAAGGTTCAAACTTACATAGTAACCTATGAAATCCATAAGGTAATACAAAAGCAGACAAGCTTCTGTTATCTGCAAAACTTCATATAGATCATAGGATTGAATTTACAGAAATATCTAACCTCAAAAGATATTCCCTTTCCATCCAGTATTATTTACGCGAGGAAAAGAAAATACAGGGAGCTGTGGATCACGTTGTACCTGTTTCACTGATACAATTGGGCAGAGATCATCAAACTTATCGAACTTAGTCGGGTAATTAGTATCAAAATATTCATATATCCCATTCTTCAGAATCCCAATTGGGTGGTCATTCCTTCTGTGGAGCTGCATTCCCAGTTTCGAGAAAATCGTGTCCGGAACATTGTTTGTCGGGTCATCCCTCACCACATCTACAAATCCCATCATCCAATAAACACTAAGCCAATTGTAAACTATGAATACACATAAATCCATGAATCAAAATCCCTCACAATAAAAATATTTAAACCAAAAAAAATATCACCAATTGATTCCCATTGCAGATTATTTTCAATCATTTAACATTACAACAGGAAGGGTGTAATCGGCTTAGATTAACCACCTTATAAACATCTTCCATTACAAAGCATTCCAAACAAATACCCAATAAATTTAATTTCCTTTATCAAATACAACTTGCATATACAAAGGGCATATTCTCATAGCTCCAAATTAGATTAATTTAAGGGGAAACTGCCCATTCCCCAAAGAAAGAAAATGCAATAATAGATGGGCTCATCTAGTTAAAATGCAAAATCAGAAAACAATGAAATGGCCCAGTTCAAGAACAGTCAATAAGAAACCAAGTTCACAAAAAATAGCATTTTTCTACCATCTTTAGCAATTTTGATTCCACCAAGCTCTAACACGGAGGAAGCCACTGGTTGTCTCCATTTTTTCTTAGAAGAAAGAGAAGCAGCAGCAGAGGAAGAAAACGGTAAGCAAGAAGAGAAGCGTTTGAAACCATTTATGTGGTGAAAAAGGGAGGTTTTGGAGAATATAGCTGAATGAGCACTTGAAACTACAGCCATGAAAAAGCCTTTGGTCTTTTTTCAGTGTTGAGAAGCTTCAACCATCTGCCGCCGAATTGGTTTGTTTATCTAACATATTTCTCAAGGTAAATTCAATTTTAGATCATAATATTATGTTTAAGTTTATAAATTACTCATCTAATTTTATAAAATTTCAATCGAGTCATTTAATTGCAAGTGAGTCTTGATGGGTAAACTATAAAACATTTCACTGTATTATGAGTAAATTTATAACCGGATCACTTTATTTATATAATTTAACAATCACGTCACTCCAATAAAAATAATTCAACTTTTTGTAACACATGATGGTTAAAATTAATTTTAAAAAGATTAATTTTATTAAAAAATTAAACGTTATGACTAAATTTACCTTTATACATTTTATTATTGTGACTTCTTAATAGAATCACATTACATCCCTAGTAAATCTCCTGAAAAATAAGATAATATTAATACATAAATAAAGGTACAAAAGAAGAAAAATTTGTTTGTCACTGAGCCTAGGATCTTCAGCTGTTAAGCACAATCTGAACTTCCCAAATACGTTGACAATGGCATTTGCATATGTGCTACAAATTTTCTAACCTGTTTTGCCATTCGACAAAGCAGCAGTGGGGTTGAGCTCATCCCAAGCTTGAATCCAAGAGACCATGGCCTCGGCCAGCTTGTGGAAGTAAAGGTCAACTTGGCCAGCTCGGCGCATAGTATCGAATTACGGTTGCGGATTGGAAGTAAAGGTCAACTTGGCCAGCTCGGCGCATAGTATCGAATTACGGTTGCGGATTTTATTGCGGATGTATTGAAAACACTTCGATTGACTCAATAGGATGCAATTGCAGAGTTGCGGTTGCGGATGTTGTGAACGTTACGTAATGTGTCACGGCTATCGCAGGCGTGATTTCTTCCTAAAAAATCACAATATATCTAAAATATTATATTTATATAGTTTGCAGTTATCTTTTAATATACTAATATTAATATACTCTTTTAGTATTTTATTTTAAAAATAAAAATGCAATTTCATAGATAAAAATTTATTAAAAACAAATATAAACCATACAAGTGCTATCATAATGAATAATGGGTAATAACAATTATAATGTTAATGAATAATATATAAATAATCTCACTAAAAACATATTAAATTTATCATATTTTAACATAAAAACGTTCATTTTACATAACTTAGAAAAAAATACATAAATACAAATAAAAATTTTATTTCTTATAGTTTACTACCAAAATGAATGGCATGGCAGATCTAAAGCATTTCCATTTTTATTATTGTCTTGGTTTTGATTCCTTCATGTTCCATGTGAAGAAGACATCACATTATGTGCATCATAAGATGCATCATTGGTAGTAAATATGTTGCATGATAAATGATGACTAAAAAATCCATAACTTGGATTTTGTTCATGGTAAAGTGGATAATATGCATTTGGTTCATAAGAATGAGAACCATAAGATTATTCACTAATTTCATTATCATTTGTAGCTGAACTATATGATGATGAACCTGTAAATGAATCATAAAAGTGTTCTCCCATCCTCCTATGAGTTATATCATCCTCATCTCTTCTATTTTGTGATGCATTTGTTATATACAAACCTGAATTATCAGTATGAGAATATCTGAATGTACCTTGATATCCATGAAAAGTATTAGAATAAATGTGTTCATATTCTGGTTGGTAAGTACCTTCATTATCGTCACCATGATCATCACCACCACCATCATCATCATCACCATCATCATCATCACTTAACGTCGATAGTTGAACATCTTCCTCATTAGATGGAGCAGATGAACTATTCATGTCTTCACCTTGAGTTTCTTTATCAGTTTCATTAAGTAACTCCTCAGGCAACCATGAGAAATTTTGTTCACTATCAAGCGTACCATCCTATTTTTCTTCAATCCATGCATTTAGTAGATCCTCTTTTTGAAAAATATTCTCAAGATTAATCAGATTAAAATCCACAAATATTAAGATACAATTCATAAAGTATTTGTACATATATCTTTATTATCTATAAAACTATAGCCGATAATTTTTTTTTGTTTACTAGAGTTAGTCTTCAAAATAGCAGCTTGAGCTAATAATGTTCCGAAAGAATCTATTTTATCTCGATATAACAACAACTAAAATAAATAAATAAATTAGTAGTTAAAACATGATACATTATAAGTTTTCTCAAACCATTTAAGTATATAAAATACATACATGATTCATTGCCAAAATTTGATCATTCAAGTTTGGTTCTATCATTTGTATGACATTTCTAACGCCGTTCATAATTTCACGAATCACTTCACTTGTGAAATTGTCGTCGTATAAAAATTGTGGATTTAAGAAATATTCTATACAAAAAAATATAATAAATATCTAAATAAGATATCACAATTTAAATTTAAAAGTTTTATAACGTACCAACATAATGTAAATCATCATTAAGTTGATTATTCCACCCTGTATCAATTATTTCTCAATATTTCTAGTAATAGCGATAATCTCTTTGAATCGTCAATTTTGCTCTGTCCATGACTTCATAAATAAAACCCATGGTTGGTTTTTCATCACTATCACACATCCTTAATACTTTAACCAACGGTTCTTGGGTCTTTAAGAAATCACCCGCCTTTTTCTAAAATTGTGTGGAGTTAATGACTTTCATCATCTCTAATCCAGCTGGTTTTCTTACATATGTGGACCTTTTTCATTCTAAAGAAGTCACCATTTCTTTGAGTGTTGTTTGATTCTAACAATAGTCTCCAAAGCAATAAAATTGGTAGCGAATCTAGTGATCCAAGGACGTAAGAGTTCTATATCTTTAGTATATCTTTTCATATAATCAATCGTCCATGCATGATTGTATATGAAAGAAGTGATCTTTTTTGCTTGATCTAAGACACTTTTCACACCTTTTTTATTTCCAATTTCTTCCAAAATAAGATCTAAGCAATGAGCAGAACATGCTGACCAATACAAGTGTTTTCTCTTTTGCATCAACATTTTACCACCAACTTTGATTGATGGTTCATTGTCTGTAACAAATTGAACAATAAATTCTTCATCAATTTCATCCATCATTTTGTCCATTACATCAAAATAATACTCAGCAGTACGAGAGGTAACATTGCTAGCATCAATGGATTTTTTAAAGATAGTACCTCTAGGACGTGTCATTTTTCTTCTTCTCTTATTGCTGCATATAAACCATTTGTTATTCATTATATGAAATCAAATAAGCTAATAAAGTATTCAAAAAATAAAATAATAATTATAAAACTTAAAACTAACAATAAAATTTAACCCTAACAATAATTCTAGATTCAACTTTTAAAATAAATTTAATTTTTGGACTATGTAATAAACAAAATAATAATAAAATAACTTACTTGTATGTTTCACTTCAATGTTGAGTTGAGAACTAGTTTTGAAGTTAAAATGAAAAGAAGAAAAATAATCTCTTGAAATGGTGGGGAAAAATTAAAAAATTTGAAAGAAACTCTCTTAGAAATTAGAACTTTGGAGAAAGGAGAAAGGAGAAGTGTAAAGAAATTCACACTATTTGCTTTAATAGTTAGTACTCTTACACACATGTACACTTGTCACTTTTTTTTTCTTTTAGTCAAAAAATTTGTCCAAAAATATATTCCTTTCTTTACTTTATTTATAACATTATTTATTTATTTATTAATTATTAATTAGATAAAATTTTATAATTTTATAATAAAAAGATAAAATACATGTAGTATTATAATATTATAAAGTAAATTCTTCTATTATACAAAATTTATATAATAAAAAATAAACATATAATTATGGTACTTAATTTTAATTTAAGAATTTAATTTAAAATTAATTCCGTCAATTTTAGCTATGAGAAATATTCAATTTAAATTAAAATTAATTTAATTTTAAAATAATTTAATTTTAAAATAACGTGAATAAATAATTTAATTAATTCAAATTTAAGTAATTAATTTAAACATAACTATTATGATATTATTAATGATATATATTTATAATATATTTTTAAGAATTAAATTAAAACAATTCATCTATGCAATTTTGTAGTTCGGATAATTTAAGTTCGTTGCGGCATTGCAGTGCAATTTATAGCATGTTGCGGCGTTACGTAACGGTTTTAGACTGCAACAGTCGTGATGCGGTTTCCTTGTCACGTTGCGCTAATATTGTGTCACAGTAACCTTCAAAAACGTTACGATGCGATCGTTACGTTGTATTGTGGCTGCAATTTACTTCGGCTTTTGATAAAATAGTCACTTTAATCATTTCTCTTTTTTTAAACACTATATTTTGAGACAATTTCTTTGGTTGAATGAAAATCGATAGTTGACTAACGATCAACGTATATCACTGACGTGGTGTAGGTCACGTGTTGAAAGTAAGGGCACGATGCATGCTATTTTTCGAAGCAACGACACGCGGAGTCCTTGAACGAAATGTTGGAAGCCTTGGGACCCAGAATCCTGTTAATGTCATTCCTGTTGTAAAGCTCATAATCAAAGCCATTAGGGACATCGATGGTCCTCGAAGGGTCACCGTCTTGAACGATGATGAGATGGTAAGACTGAAAAAAGGGCCTCCCCATCTCAAGAAAGTCCAAGTTTCTTATAGTTGGTACTTGGTATAACGATACCGAGCTCATCTTTCAGCTGATGCTCTGGTGTTGCTGCAATTGCTACTTCTATTGGAGACGCGGCACGAGTTTCCGGATAAAGAGAGGCGAGAGACATCTTAAGAGTTTTGCATGGAATGAGGAATTCTTCAAAAGCTCAAAATCCCAGTGTTTTTGGCTCAAGACTTAGTTTTTGTTTGCCAAAAATGATTATTTAGAATTATTGAGCGACTTTAGTGATAAAAGAGTGTTTTTCTAGTTTCGGATTCGAACAGCTACAAGATTTTGGATTCAAATATTTATGTCTACAAGGTATGTGTGCCTCCATTATCAAAGGACTAAGAAAATTATGGACATGTACTACCTTGTAATCACCCTAAAATAATATCAATTGTAATAAATTAGAGTACAAAGTTTATTAATACTATAATACCATGCGAATGGAAAAACTTACCTTTCTTATTAGTACGCAACGTCACTTATAAGAACAAATCACAACCATTTCCCCTTAAAAAAATCATAAAATTAGAAGAAAAAAAATCGAAAATCAATCTTTTGACAAAGAAGTAGCAAATGATCATAGAGAATTTATATTTTCAATAACCATTAGAGAAGATGAAAGGTGGAACTGAATACAACTTCATCTTCTTGTTGTGGAGCAGTCGACGGTAAGAAATGGGAGCACCCGTCATTCCTTTGTTAACATCTGTCGCAACTTTACAAGTCTCCAATGGCGATTCTAGAAGGAACGCTTTGCAATCTGCAAGCTTTAGGCTGTGGCGAATGAGTTGGTGAGGGTACAATGCCGCAAGGTAATATCCCTTTGAATCTGTCGGTGTGTTTAAGATGGAGAAAGGTGCTGTTTCATAACCCTGCTCGTCAACAGCTACACATGTTATTCTAGCAGCAGCTCCTGCGCTCAGATTTAGGAAAGTAAATGAACATAGCGGTTCGATGAATTATTCTTGTAATTCAGATTATCTAAAGATAATAGTATAAGAAAATTGCTTCATGGGGAATAGGCTTGATTAGTTGGGGATTATACCTTTGATTGGGGTTGTTTTGGGGCCTGATTTACATAGAATAATGCCTTCAATAACAATGGAGAGTCGTTTATCTTTCACATCAAGCATGGGTTTATCTTCAATACCACTACAGTCTACATTAGATCCTAGGAACAGGAAAAATTAATCATTTCCTACTCTTGTTAGAACATGTTTTAATTGTACAAAATCTCAATTTTTTTGTTCTTGATTACTCTATATCTCACTTATATACATACATCTACCAGTCAGTTGGATGAAACTCTAATGTGCAGTCCATTTGGTGCCTCCACTCTTGGAAATTTCATCAATTTTTCTCCCCCAACTTCTTCCCATCTGCACCCACAAAAGAAAGAAAAATCAATTTCCTTTTTTTTTCTTCTTAAATATTATTTTTCAAGTAAATTACTTTTTCTAGACAATTAAATTACCTGTATCTAGTTACAAAATAGTGAAGGAAAGTGGAAATTTCTGCAATTCCAAGTTCCTTCCCTGGACATTGCCTGGTGCCTCCTCCAAATATCAAGAAATAACTTTGAGATTCCAAGCCCTTGTCCTGTTTTCATCAACCATTTTATAATCATGCATGGATAAAAAACAAAAACCAAAAATTGCAGGAGAAATTAGGGTTTACTAACCATCCATCTCCATGGACTGAAAGCTAATGGATCTGGGTATAGGAATGGATCATAGTTTATTTCCCTTGTATAAACATAAATTCTCCACCCTTTAGGAATCACAAATCCTGAGAAAATAAGTTAATTAGTCATTGGTGAACATTCAATCATTTGGCAAAGAGTTGTAAAAGTTATATATATATATATATATATATATAAAGCTTCCTTTCTTTTGAAAAATCATTGAAAAAATATGACAATGAATCATCCAGGGAACAGTCTAGCTGGATTGGTAGGTATACCATTGTAAATCATGATAGGGGTAAGGTCCACCAAAGCAAGATGATCTGATTTTCTTTTACATTCTTTTTTATCACAAAATGTGTAAAAAAAGGTTCTAAAAAGTGCAGTTAAACTGCAAACTCAGCTTCTTGAACACATAAAGTTGAAATTTATTAATGGCTCACCATTTAGTTCCATTTCTTGAGTAGTTTTCCTCAAGACTCCATTAACAATTGTAGCTAACCTTGAAGTCTCAAAAATTACCTGCATCAAAAGTAGCAAACCAAATCATTAAACTTTTTACTATTAATTATTAAAAAAGAACAGAGGGTTCTTCAGAAAAGTTACAAATTTACATACTGCTCTTGTAAATCTCATTGACTTCAGGTCATTCCAATCAATCGGTTCATCAGCTTTTTTTCTTGCTCTAATTCCCATATGCTCTTTCTGGGGAAATATATAACAGTAAAATCAAAACCAGAGGAAAACAAATGAAACAATGACAAAAGAACAGCTCAAAGTTGAACTTACTCTTAGCTCTTCAAGAACTGTTGGATGATCATGGAGATACTTGACAGCCATCATTGATGTTGTCGAAACAGTTTCATAACCAGAGTACAAGATTGTAATGATTTGGTCAATGATCTCATCATCACTTAGTTTATGTCGATTACTGTCATCATTTTTCATCAAGTAACCAAGCATGTCCTTGTGGTATTCTTCACTCTCTCTTCTCTGTTCTATCAGTTGTCCCAGGATCTTCAAAATGTTTTTTCTTGCCTGCAAAATCATTGTTAGACCGTAAGAACATGAACTGAAATAAAATACAAAAGATATAGGAGCTGGAGATGGAGATGGCTTGTGAAATTACCTGAAATCCTCCACGATAATTCGTACCGGGAAGATCGATAGGAAGCGATAAGGTGCCTAAAACGAGTTTGAAGAACTCAGGCATGAATTCTTTAGCTACTGAACTGGACTCAGCACTGGCGATTTGCTTAAGTGATGATAAAAAAGCCATCTGTAGAAGAAGAGGGGAAAAAAACATATTAGAAACAAAGGAAGAGCTTTGAATGTGACATATTCAAGGACACAAACCTCTTTGGTCTTGTCTTGGATGTTAATGACTTTGTTGTCCCAATTACAGAGGAAAGCTCTCATGAATTCATCGATTTTGGGGAGTTGTTGTTGTCTGATCATAGTGGGGCTAATGAGGGCAAGGAGGGCACCTCTCATTTGCTTATGAGTGGAGCCATGGACGGCTGCGATGTTGCATTTGCCCAAGATATCGAGCATGGACAGTGGATAACCCGGAACAAGGCCCTTGGCTTCGTTCATTAGTATATATCTGTTGAGCTCTGGATCCATGGAAATAACAGTAGGACACCCTAGGATATGTGATTTGAAGAAACTGCCATACCTGTTTGTTAATAACCAAAAAAAAAAAAACTCTATTAAAACCCCATGATTCTTACTCTTTTTTAAAGCTAAATTTACAAGAACACCATCTTGAATTGTTTTCAAGTGACCAAAAAAGAAAACACCGTTGCTTCCATAAAAGGAAAAGAAGAAGAAGTTATTTCATCAAACAGCTGTTGTGTTTACAAAGATTTGAGGGTTAAAATACCTTGCTCTTTGGTTTTTCATGAAGTTAGGGCCTTGCTTGAGAAACTCAGTGGTTTCCCCAAAGACAGGCCAACCCATTGTACCAGGGGGCAGACCTTTCTTCCTGTATCTCATCTCATTCCATCTCAAAACAGCAGTGCATATGCAGAGCACAATTGAAAACAACCCAATAATCACCATGAAAACACCCATTATTTCTCCCAATAAGCTCTCTTTTCAAAGGAAAAGAAACAACTTCTCTAAATTGTTGGGGAGTTCTCCTAACTCTAAATTTGCCAGAAGGGTATATATATAGGCCAAACCATGCAGCACAGTAGGAAGGGGACCCTACCCTTAAAGACCTCGAAGTAATATAAGCAGGTCCAATAAAAATTATTATAGGAATCCATAGTTGTTTAAAACATTTTTTTAATAATCTAAGTATCAAGCCCTCTTAATTAACTAGATATATTTTAGAATCTTAAACTCTTTCACGCTTAACTATGATTTAAAAAATTAATATGTAGATTAGGACACAACTCATTCTTCAAGATTTTCAGCACGAAAGTTTGTTTGGTAGTGTCTGAAAAACCTTTAACAGTTTCTATTTGGTATATTATCTATGTAGTTCGATAAATATTTCATTTTTATGTGAACTCCATGTATTCTAGTCTTTTCTCTAAATATAAACTAATCACGTCGAGTCGTATAAGATTATAAGAATATAAAAAAAAATTATAAAATATTAAATGTTATTACATTTCTATCAAATATTATCTATTTTTTTAATCAACTGAATTGGTTTAAATGGTAAACAACTCAATATCGCTTAAGCAAAGTTTCATGTTCGAGTCATTGTGTATACAGAAAATCTACGTTGAGAGATTCACCGATTAAAATTAAATGTACGATCCGGGTTGATTTAGATTAGTCAGAGCGAAGTCTTGAAGTTAGAGGAAAAAACTGTAATATTTTAAAGTGCTTCGTATATGGTTTAAATTCTGATTGACGAGGAAAAAATGTTTTATTTTCTTTGCCAATTTAATTAACCTTTTGTGTTTAATATTTCATATAAAGATTAAACAATTTATGTATATTTAATACATATATAAATTTATATGTCGTCAATTAATTATAATATATTATCTTTAAAGATAATTATTAAATTTATTTTGAATGAATTCTGTAATTATTTGTTAGAATTTTGTATATTTACATTAAAAAGAGAACAATTCTTGATATTATAAATCAATCAAATTAATTGAATTAAAAAAGGATTTGGAGTTTTGTTGATCGAATTCCATATTATACATCTAAAGCATTTTTGCTTTACTAATTGAGGGAAGGAATATGGGCACGATCATTCAAACCCTTACGCTAAATTTGCATTACGTGCCGAAATTTTAGGAATTTTCTTAATATATCAGTTAAAGCATCACCGTTGTCCTTTTATATACATGAGATTTAGTTAAAATAAATATTTAAATTATGCATTTTTATTAATTTTAAATGTTTAATTTTTTTTATTAAAGTAAATATTTTTTAAAATTTTTATTTTAAGGTCAATTTCAATATGAACGTTAAAAAGATTTCAATCACTCAACACATACATACGTCGCATTTATAATTTTATGAAAATTTTAATTTAAAAATATTATTTTTATAAAGAAAATCAAAATTCTCTAGAATACGAAAAACTCACAAATTTCATAATCTCGAAGCTTGTTATCATCATTGGCTATCATTGTCGGCGTCGAACGTCCACCCACCCGTCTTTTGACCATCATTACTGGTCATTCCCTTCTCATTGTGCTAATTTCTTAAATCTTTAAACTTAAATCTATGAATCTTTCTAAATCCTAAACTCTTACAATTAAATTCATAAATATCTTTAAACCCTAAATTCCTAAATTTTCAATATCCAAATTCCTAATACCAAAGCCTATTACAGCAGTCAGACACCACCAGTGTTGTTGAATGCGCAACTATCCATATTCGAACGTCCAATCACTCGTCGTCATATCCTATTGATGATCATCTCCATTATTGTCGCCTTAATTCCCTAAGTTCATAAACTTAAATTCTTAAATCTTTATAAACCTTAAATCTCTAAACTTTCAACACTCGGATCCCTAATCTCAAAGTTTATTACGATGGTCGGCCACCACCGTCCAATATGCATTTGTCATCGGACTCCCATTGTTAGTCATCCCCTTAGAATCGTTCAAATCTCTTAAATTCCTAAATTTAAATGAATTTAAGGTTTTATAAATTTGAGAATTATGGTTTTATAAAATTTTTGGTGTTTTATGAAAAATATTTTTTTAATTAAGAAATTTATTTTAAAAAATTAAATAAAATTAAAAATGAAGCCACATGCTTACTTGACAACTAATGAACATTGTCTATATGAAAATTAATAATTTTTCAAGTGCGTAGCAAAGATGGTCCTTTTGTCAAGGAGAAGTGGCAAGTATAAAAGCACCCTTTGCCATTAATTAGTACTTAATGTCCTCTGCCAAAGATCCACCCGAGTTTGGTACCAGCCACATCTTCTGCCTTAATTTTACACCTAAACCATATGATCCATGCCTTTGGTGTAAAAATCAACAAAAACATATCTTATGTAAAGAGAAAATGGTCCAGAAATGGAAGAAAAAAAGCTTGTGGTTCTTGCTTCTTGGCATTGATTGAATTATGATAGGGCAAAAAGCCAAATTGCAAATTGCAAATTGCACACGGCTCCGTACAGTAGGTGTACAAGATGATCAGTCTAATCAAGCATGTTACAATATTTCATTCATAAAGGATATGGATACTGAGCCTTTTTGTCTTTGGAATTTCTCTTTGTATTCAAGTTCATTTAATAATGAATAAGTATATCATTTTTTTCTTACAGTAATAGATATATAATATAATTAAAATATTATTATAAATTAGTTATTCATCGTTAAAATTGAAAGAAACATTTAATGTGTTATGGTATAATAACATCTTTAGTTCTTGAAATTTATACATTCTATTAATTTTGTCTTAGTTCAAAATAAATCAATAAATTTAACTTTTAATATTTAAAGATTCTAATAATTTAATTATTTTTTGTGATATTACCAAATCAAGCGAATCTATCGTTTTAGAGTATTAATTGGATAATTGCATTTTACTATAAAACAACAATAAGTTACTATTAAATTATTATCATACCATAAAAGTAATGACATATCTAGGAGAAGAACAAAGACATAAAAATAATGATTTTTTTACGAACCAAGTGACCTCTGTGGTAAAGAAATTGTTGTTATTCTTTGGGGATTCGTGTTCGAACACCATAGATATCAGGGGTGCGAGCGTTCAATATCGAGAGGTTGAGAGTTATCTATGAACAAATATTATCTTGTACTTATCCCATATTGATAAAAATGATGATTTTTTTATTAATGATAGTTTTTTTTAATACGAAGGGTTATAGTTATTGAACTGTTTTGGATTATGATCGAAATGATAAATTTTATAAGTTTTATGGACTCAAACTATTATTACACAATACCAAGTCACTATTTCATTTAATATTTAATGATAAAATAAATTGCTTATAATAACATTTAATTGAGTAGTTATTGGTAACTTTTAGAATAAAAAAGTAACTTATTTGTTACCAAACCATAATTATGTGACCTCCCCTGTATTTTTTTTCTATTGAATTCGTGTTGTGTTCTTCTTCAACCCCCAAAATTTTCCTACTTTTCCCGAAGTTGATTGCTTGTCTTGATGTGGAACAAAAGGTGGAATAGATGGTGACCTAATAGAATTCGTAGGATCCATGGCCAAATCCTTAGAAAAGGATTTGCCACAATAGATGCATTTAATTTATTCCCCATATATATATATATATATATATATATAAAAATCTTTAAAAAAGTTTAATAACAGTTAAATGCTTATAATAACATTATTGAGTAGTTATTGGTAACTTTTAGAATAAAAAAGTAACTTATTTGTTACCAAACCATAATTATGTGACCTCCCCTGTATTTTTTTTCTATTGAATTCGTGTGTGTTCTTCTTCAACCCCCAAAATTTTCCTACTTTCCCGAAGTTGATTGCTTGTCTTGATGTGGAACAAAAGGTGGAATAGATGGTGACCTAATAGAATTCGTAGGATCCATGGCCAAATCCTTAGAAAAGGATTTGCCACAATAGATGCATTTAATTTATTCCCCATATTATATATATATATATATATATATATATATTAAAAATCTTTAAAAAAAGTTTAATAACAGTTACATCAAGTGAGAATGAAGACGTCTTCATATTGAAATCTAAATTTTATTTAGGAAATTATTTATTTAATTGATTGTGTCCTCTTAAAATTTTATTTGTACTCACCTATACAAAAATATAATTCAAATTTAGATAAGAAATGAAAATTAAAAAAATCCACGTATAATTTACGTAGAATGAGATTAATCCTTTACTAACTTTAATATAACCTTATAGATTCAGTTATAGTCAATTAAACCTTGGTAGAGTTACTAAAGATTTGAGGCTATATTAGAGTTAGTAAAGGGTCATACACTTATATTTTTCACTATGATTTTGTATTTCAATTGTTTTATAAGACTAATCCTTTATTTAAAAGGTTGTACACTTTTTTCAATAGTTCCAAAACATTAGTCAAAGTAAAGGTATTGGAATCCAAATGATTGAACTCCACCCATATGCATGAAGACTGGACAGCTCAAACCATGTTAACATACATACATATTTTTTCCTTCTCACAAACACAAAAAAATAATAATAATAATAAACATATTGGCCATATGCTCGTGGACATCTCTAGCATGTGACAAATGGAACAATAAGCACCTTCTAATGTTAATTATATGCACATAAATAAGATAAAATATAATTGAGAGGAAGATTGCCGACACATAGATTAGTATTTGATTACAACGGAATAGAAATACTAAAAAAGAAATGAAACACATCAATATATTAAGAGGGGGGAAATTGAAAATGAAAGAAATCAGACAGATAATAAATATTATTTTATATCGATTAATTAGGCATTATTTAAAAAAATATTACCAATTAGTTTTAGGTCGGGAGAGGGATGTCCACCCACACGAACACATGCATCTCATTTGTGCACTTTTAGTTATTGCCAATCAATTAATAATAAATAATAATTACCAACAATCAGTTGGTCTAATGGGATAAGACATTATGTCCTTAAGTAATGTTAGGGGTTCAAATCTTGACGTTTGCGAATAGAGCAAACTGGGTTGGGAGGGTCGCCATCGCCTATGCAGTACCCAATCTGAATTAATCGATCAATAGATCGGATACCAGTGATTAATTAAAAATAATAATTTATTTATTTATAAATTTAAAGTTGTGATGTGCATTAAAAGTATTCCAGTTGGTGCACGAGGGCATTTTTTTGTTCCCTTCTGCTTTTCGTTTTTTTTTTCTCTCCTGGAAAATTAAAAATAAAATTGATAAGTGCCGAATTTCTTCACATTAATTATTTTTATTTATTTATCAATCATTGTAGTCTCAACACAGGCGTCCGTGCAGTGTATGTGAAAATGATGGCCAATTATTCTTCCAACGTCTTAATTTTGTATTTGCTTTCGATTTAATCATGTGCTAATATTAAGCTCATCACTCTTGTTAGCCGATCAAATTCCAAATTTTGGATACTCGATATCGATGCTTCCTTGGAGAGCTTAAGTCAAAACTCTAAACTTTTGATATGATTCATCATTTCATATCATGGAGTAAGAGTTAAATTATTTATCGACAGAACATATCAAAAGTTTGTGTTTTTACTTAAAATGCGATTGATTAGAACCCTAAACTAGAAGTACAAAAGAAAAGGGTCAAGAGATCGTACTCGATTGAAATGATTGGAAATTGGCTTGGCTCATAACAGCAGTCGTCACTCGGCAATGTGTTGTAAAGTAAGACGTGTTCCTGGTCAGACTCGTACAACTTACCTGAAATACTATCGCTTACGCATCCGTTTGTCAAGTACCCGTAGGATTGAAATTGAATGTTGCCTAACTTGTTTGCAGGACCAATCTTTATCGACCAACTCACGCGGATGAATTGATCTTTCATCTGCAAAGGGGATGACGGAAGGTGTTCGATAAATTGCCAGAACGAGGGTTTTGTTTGTATCCTAGATTGGCAAAAGATTTCGAGGGTCGTGGATTCGCTTCAGGCCAAGTTTGTCTTCATTGTTGCGACCAAAACTTTATAGTGGGCAATGTTCCCTGTTTGTGAGTGAGGGCATTAGTAAATGAACCATCTCAATCGGTGACTCGGACCCAATATTTATGTTTATTGTTGAGATAAATTAACCTTAAATTTTTTTTGCATACATTTTGCGTTTAATGATTTCATGAAATGTAGAGGTGGGCGTGGATGTATGTTTTATCCGTATGAAACGATGGGTAGTTAGCATTAAGGGTGTAAAAAGCCGACTCGACTTGTAAAACTAACTGAAACCGACTTGAGTCAAAAGTGTTTTTGACCTGCGTTGTGGCGATCCGAAACCGACTCGACTCGGAACTGGTGTTGACCTGAACCCGAGTTGGACCTGGAAATTGTGGATCTGAACCCGACCTGCACCCGACCTGAGAACGACCTGAACCTGAATTAAACCGAAAATATGATACCTGAACCCGAACTGCATCCAACTGATATGAACTCGAACCCGAGATTGATATGGTAAATAACTGATATTACCCGGTCTGTTTTCAACCTGACATGTTTTCAACCTGACCTGTAATTGACTAAACCTGTAAATAATCCGACATGTTAAAGTGATCTGATATTTATCTTGACTTATAAGTGAAGTTATAATTAATATAATTATGTTATTTTAAATTTATAATAAACTTATGATAATTAAATTAATATGATTACTTTTTGAAATTTAATTTTTATATTAATTATATTTTGTATATTATAAATTTAGTTTTTATAATATACAACTTTTGAATATTTTAATTTATTCTTCAAATTAATCCAAATATGTAATTTATTTTAACCATAATTTAACCTAAAATTTGTTTTTTCAAACATATAACAATATAACTTGGCCAAATGATTTTATTAACAGGAGATGTGATTAGCATATACGTATATTTTGGGATAAAGTTGAAATGTTCAAAAAATGTTAGGGACCCATTTAGAACAAAGGTCATAGTTTGAGGATGAAATTGAAATATTCAAAAGTTTGAGAACTAATTTAAAATAATTGTCATAGTTTAGATATGAAATTGAAATATATAAAGTTTAGAGTCCAATTTAAAATAAGAGTCATATTTTAAAGACATGTGATGCAATCAACTCTTTTTAATTAATATTAATTATACTTGTCAAAACTTTTATTTCAGATTTTAATAAATTATACTTAAAAATTTAGGATATAAAATTTTAAAAGATTTAAAATTAGATTACTAACGAAAAATATAACAAATATCTAAGTTATAAAAAAGTTTAAATATTTAGAGGGCAAGATTGTACTCCAACACCCCTCCATCCCTGCATATATCACAAGTTATATAAAAACCTTGATTATAGATAATGGCAGGTGCTAACGTGTTAGTGGTTGCGTGAACCAAATTAGAATGGTTAACTAATTATTTAGGAAATCATTCAAGTTACCCCTAACAAAAAAATCCATTGTTTTTTAAACAATGGAGTTAATTAAACTACAAAGAAAAGCCTCTTAAATTCTCATCTTGTTCCTGGTACAAGAAAAAATCGAGCTCTGTTGATCAGATGTAAATGGAGCATTCTAAAGTGTCAGCAGCGAGATCTCGGATCAACTGTCGATGATCGTGTCTTGTCGATTGAATTTCAGACGCTAATGACACCGGATACCCAAGGGACGAAAACAGGCACATTCGGGTGGCTATTTCTATATTCTTCAGAGTATCGGTCCTTAAAGTTCAAAGACGGCATCTCCGACTGCAATTCAATTAGCTTTGAGTTGAAAACAACTTCTGTTGGATGTAAATGTGCCAAGAAATGGTAACTTAACGGATTGAAAGCTTACGTATTTCAGCCAGCAGACCATGTGTTTGTGTTCATATTTATCTGGGGAATAGCAGCCGGACTCGGATGGACAATAAACCCATATGTTGCATTTCTTTTGATCTGGCTTCGCGGATTTTGCTTGATCTAGGCAAGCCTGGCAGCAATCAGCTGCACTTTCTTGGAGGTTGGAAAGACCCCATCGAACACAATCACCATCATAATCAGTATGAATTTCAGGGTTGCATTCTGGTGGAAGAGGCCTCCCCGCTAAAATTTGTTCTACATCTTCTGTACAATAGAATTAGACCTCATTGACATCCATTTCAATCATGATATTAACTTATAATATGCATGATATTTTGACCTATGTTGTCCAACTCTTCATTTTCCGAAAACCCGTCTCCGAACATTTGGATATGGGGTATGTGGTTATGATCCTTCAATTATATGAATAAAGAAAACCTTTGAGAAAAAAATGAACATACCCTTGTTGGATCGGATATAATCCCATTATCCAACAGTCACTCCCGTGTTAGAGTAACGTAGTTATTTACGAGAAAAATTTATGGTTTTGATCAACAGGAGAAATCGAACAATTACCGGTATCTTCCACGCCTTCAGGCTTATCATTGTGTTCTTGATTCTCAATTGCAATGGGTATCCAAAGGCCAATATTCTGACAGCGCAGCCCAATCTGACTCCAAGACTTTTACTAAATTCCCTACAAAATAGTATGTTTAAAGTTCTGCGACAAGTAAAAACCGTTTTAAGCTTTTTATCTTGATAATTAACTAAAAGTAACAAAATATACCACCTTTCGGATTATGAGTTACCTGCTTCCTCTTGCAGAAGAGTTGAATTCAATCCCTTTACTCCATCAGCTAACTTTTTAGCTTCTTTCAGTTTCTCGTGGCGCCAGGTTTGAACCGCTTCTGTAAACCCAAGATGAATATCAACACAATAACTAGCAAACATGGGACGGACGTTACTGCTAATTACGTCGAAAGAACAACAAACACTTCAACGGTAACTCTAACCCGATGGTTGAAATGGGTATCCGTTACCATTAAAGGAGTCGAAGAAATAAGTTACAAGTCAAAACCAAAAGCAGAGTATAAAAGGTTGGTCCTTCCTGACAAATACAACTTTTTGATTGGCGTGAAATGATGTTGATTTTGGCGGGAAAGTTTACAACTTTATGATGTTGATAAGCGAGGGAGAAAATCCGCGTGTTTTTTAATTTTATTTGACTTTGTATTTTTGTCTCTTAGTTTTAAATTTATTCAATTTAGTCCAAATTTAATGATTTAATATATTAATTTAATCTTCATATTTTACCTTTTTTCAATTTAATCCAAATTTAATGATAGAATTTATTAATTTAAGCTTCATATTTAAAAAATTTTCAATTTGATCCTTATATATTTTTCAATTCTTTCAATTAATATATATGTTTATATTAATAAATTAATATATAGTTTATATATACTAATGAACTATATAATATATAGTTTGTATATACCATATACTATATAGGTTATATATAGTAATGAACTATATAATATAGAGTTTATATATACTATATAGTTTATATATACTATATAATATATAGTATATATATATATTATATATCTATCTATATTATTATAGTTTATATATACTAATAAACTATATAATGTATAGTTAGGGTTTAGGATTTTTATATAGTTCATATGTAAATTATACTATGTAGTATATATAGTTTATATATATATATAATATAATATATAAATATAAACTATAGTATATATATAGGTCATATGTAAATTATATAGTATATAAATATCAACTATAGTATATATATATATATGTCATATGTAAACTATATAGTTTATATATAGTTCATATGTAAACTATAGTTCATATGTAAATATTAACTATAGTTTATATGTAAACTATAGTTCATATATAAATATCAACCTTAGTATATATATTTATATATATAGTTCATATGTAAACTATAGTTCATATATATAGTATATAAATATAAATAGTATAAAATATAGTATATAAATATAAACTATAGTATGTAGTTTATATATATATAAATATAAACCCTAAACCCTACATACTATATATATAAACTATATAATTTATATTAATAAACTGTATAATTTATACAATATATATTATTTATAATTATACATAATACATAATATATAAATATAAATTGTATAGTTTATATATAATTCATATATAATTTATATAAACTATGTAGTTTCTATATATTCAATAGTTCATATAAACTATATAGTATTATAGTTTTTACATGGTATATATACTTTATACTTTATACATAATATATATATAAACTATATGGTTTATATATAATACATATATTTTATATATAAACTATATAGTTTATATTATATATATCTATATTAGTTGTTTTAATTTTTTTTCTCAACTTAATACTTATTTATATTTATTAATTGGCCCATAACCTTTTAAATGAGTATAATTTAGTACCTTTTTGTATTAATTTCAACCTCAAAATTTAAAATTATTTTGATTTGATCCCTTTTGTCTTGTTTAATATATTTAAATTTTTATTTGTAATTTTATATTTGTTCAATTTAGTCCTCCAAATTTTATTTGCACCCGAAATTGACCCATACTTATTACTTATTTCTATTTTTAAATTGACTCATAACTTTTTAAATGAGTATAATTTAGTACTTTTTGAATTAATTTTAACCTCAAAATTTAAAATTATTTCAATTTGATCCCTTTTGTGTTGTTTAATATATTTAAATTTTTATTTGTAATTTCATATTTGTTCAATTTAGTCCTCCAAATTTTATTTGCATCTGAAATTGACCCATACTTATTATTTATTTCTGTTTTTAAATTAGCCCATAACTTTTTAAATGGGTATATTATAGTACTTTTTTGTATTAATTTCAACATCACAATTTAAAATTATTTCGATTTGATCCCTCATCAATGTGTGTTGTTTAATTTATTTAATTTTTTATTTTTTAATTTAAAATTTGTTCAATTTAGTCCTCCAAATTTTATTTGCATATGAAATTGATCCATACTTATTACTTAATTCATTTTTTTAATTGGCCCATAACTTTTTAAATGGGTATAATTTAGTATTTTTTGTATTAATTTCAACCTCACAATTTGAAATTATTTCGATTTGATCCCTCATCGATGTGTTTTTAATTTATTTAAAGTTTTATTTGTAATTTCATATTGTTCAATTTAATTCTTAAATTTGTATTTTTCATAAAATTGAACCATGATTATTTATATTCTTAGTAATTTACTCTAAATCATATACAATTACAAATTGCAATTCAACGTTCGCGAAAGACGAAAATAATTAATCCAAAAATAAAAAGTAACCCGATTTGAATTCAATCCGTATCTGATAGAGATCCGACTTGAATTTTATCTACCAATGATGTGCCCCGATCTGAACGAGATCCGCCTGAAGTCCATCCGAATCTGAATTAACTTACTTTTTAACTGCTTCGGACCTGAATTGTTTTGACCTGAACTGGCAACGATCCGAACTGAAAATGACCTGACCTGAACCCGATCTGGATCTGGTGTCAAATTTACCTGACTTGACCTGTATCCGATTTTACCCGACCTGTCAGGAACCGATTGAAACCTGAACGATTACCCGATTTTACAACCCTAGTTAGCATGCGAACAAAATTGAATTATCGATATTATTGTACGTAATAGTACATCTTTAGTCCTTTGATTGTTTGGTAACTCAAATGTTCTAATTCATTTTTTAGGCTTAACGTAAAATTAAATATACAAATTATACTTAAAATTAACTTTTGGTATCTATAGAATTTTTCGTTAAAAATAGATGTCTAATATTTTTTATTTTATACTTTTAGGTATTTGTCGTTAAAAAAATCGTTAAGTGACATGTGTCATGTTCGTATATATTTTTAACAAATATTTTGAAGTAATATTTTATTTCTAAACAATATAAACGAGACATGTGTCACTTAATCGTTTTTTAACGGTAAACACTTAAAAACGTAACGAATAAAACATTAGTCACCTACCTTTAACAAAAAAAATTAAAAGTTGAAAGTTAATTTTGAGTATAGTTTGGACACTTATTTTTGTATTAAGTTTTTTCTAATTTATCTTTCAATCAAATAAAAAAAATTAGCTGACCCTATTCCCATGTGTAATGGGGTGAGGGGGAGGTAAGGTAGTAGGCTCCCCCAGTCCCCAGCTATATGATATTGTTTTAAGTCTCTCGACTATTAAAAGTTACAAAATGGTTATCCAACTATAGAGTGTTGCTTTATTGAATTCCTCGACTATCAGAAGTTACAAAATGATAAATAATGCTAAATATTATTAATTTAATATATAAAAATTTAAAATGTTAAAAGACTCAACCTATAATTATAAATTAGTTAAAAATTAAGATAAATTATTTAAAATAAAATATTAATTATATTATTTTTCATAATATTTTTAACAATAATTGGATCAAATACCAATATTTAAATATAAAAATCATAAATATCTTTTCCTTAATTAAATAATTTACCTTTAAAATTTTACTTAGTTTATTATATATAGAGTCATTTATAATTTTAAATTTTTATAAATTAAATTAATAATATTTAACGCTATTCATCATTAATGATACTTAACAGTACTCATCGACATAGTAAAATTTTCTTAATATTAAATAATAACTTACAATAAAATAAAATAAGAAAATGATTGTGTATAAAAAGGTTCATTAAATTTTGGAAACGCTAACGTGAGGCGTCTTAGTATACGGCTAAAATAAGGTGCTATCGATTTTGTTATTTTTTTATATAAAAAAAATCGGTAAAAAATGACCGAAAACATTATTATTTTTACCGGTTCTAATTAACTATATAGGTAAACGCAGTAGAAAAAATCCGGTCAAAAAATAATGTTTTAGGTAGCGCTTTATCGAAAATATTATTTTTTGACCAAATTTTTTATATCCATTTACCTATATAGGTAATTAGAACCGGTAAAAATAATAATATTTTAGGTTATTTTTTACAGTTTATTATTTAAAATGATAACAAAATTAATAACGTCTTATTTTAACCGTATACTAAAGCACCGCACCGCAGAACTGCCCGTACTAAAAAGGTAAAAGGAAATCTTGAAAGGAAGAACACATAGAAAAAGAGAGAAGGCTCAATATACAGTTTTTTCAGGATTGGCATTCCTTTTTCTTTCTCTTCTAATTTAATTAATTAATGATTTAATATTATTAATTTGCTGTCATATGTAATATTATTCTATATTGGATATATATATATATATATATATATATATATATATATATATATATATATCAGATTCACCTCAATTTGATCATAGAAGAAAGAGAAAATCGAAAGAGGTGGTTTGGCGGGGTTGAAGAGATATGATGATTGAGTGAGTGCACGTGTGGTTACTTGTGTCCACAGTCCACGTGCATCTGTTTTTATTCACTCAAAAATTGATTGATTTTTGCCTTTTATTTTCGGTAAATTACACTCAACGTCCTTAATTATGGATTTGGTAACAATCAGATCACCTTTTTCTTCTAAAAGTTATAAATAAATCACTTAATTAAAATATTGTTACAAACATAAATATTAGATGAAA